AGCTGCACTTGGGATGGAAGCCTAGATCCGCTCTAGACTTCCTCCTACCTGAAAACCGATCCTCCGCAACTCCAGGCACACTTGAGTATGGTGTGCACTATGAGAAGTTGCTACAGCAAGCTGACGAGCACATCAAGAAAGCTCAACAAGCAATGATTGCTTCTGAGAACAAGCATCGACGATAGTCCTCATTTCAGGTAGGGGAACGTGTCTGGGTCAAGGCTAGTGAGCTAGGACAGGAATTCGGGATCTCTCGTAAACTAATGCCACAGTATTTTGGTCCTTCGGAAGTCCTGGATGTAGTGGGGGATGAGATGGATGGTCCTACCTATGTTATCCGTATCCCTGGACACCTACGCACTCACCCTGTCTTTCATGCCTCAAAGCTTGCACCTTTCGCTGAGACAGATCAATTCCCTTCAAGGAGATCGATGCTGCCCCCAACCATGGATGGTCAAGTGGACATCGACGACATTGTGGATCACAGAGATCTGCCTGTTCAGAAGCCATTGGGTAAAGAAAGACCTCCAAAACCCAAGCGGGAGTGTCGCGTCAGATTCAGGCATCATACAGATCCAAAGGAAGATCGATGGTTCACCAGAGAGGAACTGATTGACACAGCTCCTCAAGTGGTGGCAGAGTATGAGAGAATGTTAAAAGGGAAGGCATCTGCGAAGTAAGCATCTCAACGGACTTTCGAAGCTAAGCGGGATGGAATGCGAGGATTGAGCACTCAAGAAGGGGCCTTGCCATGATGTACATGTTCTGGGCTAAGGCCCCAACAAGCCTAGTGCCCGCCCTAAGTGAAGGCGGGCCAGCAAATCAACAAGAGCCCTCTGTGCAAACATTTCACGAAGTGGGGTCCATACAGTTGCAGCACGCCAGTTGGTTGGTGTGCACCGAGTATCGGAGCTCTGCAAATGCAGAAATCCCAGGACCCCGAGTTGGTTAGGCCCTGGGCACATAAACGTGAGGCCGACAATGCGTGCTGGATATAGAGGCCGAAAATGCAAAAGGGAAACTGGTCCACTATCTGAATCTGGCCGCAGGCCTTGACGAAAGGGCGCAACTGCATCTCCTGGCCCCCCAACTGCATCGGGCCTGGGTACAGGCACTGGGGCCCAGACACAGGCTCAAGGGAGGCCGCCCACACGCATCGCTGGCATATACGCAAGCAGGGCGAGTGGGCAGGGATCTTGGCCAATGCGGGCAATGCCGGCACGCTGCGCGAATGCAAGTGGCTGCGCTGCGCTAGGCTGAGGTGCGAGACAGGCAGGCGCTAGGGGTAGGGCGTTGCCTGTACACAGGGCGCTGGCCGCCATAGCCGGGCTGCCTGAGGGCGCAGGGGAGGTGAGGGCGAAGGTGGTTCTCCGGAGGTGAAGGGCGCTGTGTGGGATAACAAGGGAGAGTGAGGGTGAAGAGAGAGGACGTACCTGGTGGAGAGGAGGTCGGCATTGGAGTTGACATCATCACTCGCTGGTCGTCAAGTTGTCTGATTGCTTTCATTGCTGTAGTTGTAGTGATAGGCTGTAGAGTAGGTAGGGCGCCTGGCGCCATTCAAGAGAGAGTTACATTGGGTTATGTTGTTGGTGTTGCCCAATTGGGCTTGGACATTGACTCACGATTCTTCTGTATCGTTCTCAAATGGATGGTTACTCGGTTCCATTGTGCTATCTGCTCTTGCTTTGACTACTTGGACTTCAGTGTGATTTTGCAATCTGGATTTCTGTGCTTCGTCCACATTCATGTTCCTTGCACTTTTGCAATTTCCCGTTATTTGGAAATTCAAAAAAAAAATAATTCCGAAATTCGTTTTTTTTTAAACGGTACGGGAAATCCCTCTTTTTTTTTTTTTTTTTTAAACACACCGCCTATAGTGCTAGTGCTGCTGATAAGAGCAGGCAGCACTAGCACCCCGGGGGAGGCTCCATCTATTGGTGGGGAGCGTCACCTGCTGGAAAACGGGTCCAGCGTCCCTTTGTACAGGGTGAAGAAGTCAAGAGGCTTGAGAAGGGCGCCTGCCAGCATTGATTACCCTGGATTCCAGGGGATTGACTGAGCATGACTTTTATGAAAGAATTATTTGAGGAAAGGTCTGCCGGCCTGCTCTACTTGTAATAGCTATCCCACTTACTTGAATCTGCAGATGCATAAGAATAATCTTTTGAGGAAGAGTCTGCCTATCTGCTCAACTTGAAATAGCTATCCCGTTGTTTTAACTCTGCAGACCCCCGGGATCCTGCATCCCACTGGGAGGCAAAATGTATAGAAAACTGTCATGAGGCCAATGGTGAACTTTTGTATCTCTTCACCCTTCAAGAGAGGGCGCCAAATAGGTAAGTATTGATACTTGTTTAGGAGCTATTTGCTCCATCCCCAGCTTGCTGACTGTCACCACCGGCCGCATCAGTGGAAAAAGGCACTCATGATAGATAAGCGGGGGCCTCCCTAGGGGGCTCCAGGGAGGGGTTCCTCGCGCGGGCATCTTGGAACAAGAGACAAATGAGGTAAGAGATATGGAGGAGGCGGGTGTCAGGTGGGTGAAGGGAGGGTAAGTTATCGTTATTTCATTCAGGACGGGATTTCTGTTAGTGACAGGCTGTGGGGTGGGAAGGGATCTGGGAAATCCGTGGAGAGGCGTAAAGGGAACGAGGCCTCTATATTAGTCCAATCTTTGAACTCCAGCCTGTAGTCTCTCATCTCTTCTAAATCCCTTAACCCTTCCTCTTGATCCCCACTCCATACCACTTTTGCGATCCATCCTTCCCTTTCCCCCCCTACCCAGTCCTTGCAGAATTTCGTAATCCTTCTCCTAACATCCCTCGTCTGTTTAAAAAGGTGTAATTGTTATTTTGTATCTAGCCATCTGCGTGTGAGCTCTAGGTGTAAATGGTGCTGAATTTGTTCTGTTATTTTTGCGCCCTCTACCCGTACTTTTACCAAGGTGAGGGTGCATCTTTGCCACCAGAGTGCCCACATTACCACCCTCCTACCTGCTCTGTACATGTTCTCTGTAAAGGTCATGGCTGTCCCTGCCTGGGGCCAATGTCCAGCCAGAACGGTTTGCCACGACCAGGGCCAGGGAATATCCGGTTCCATCTTGCGCCAGATACGGTCCCACCATCTCCATGTGAATTGGGCAATCGGACACTACATAAAAATATGAGAACGGTCGATATTCAGATGTCTGGCCCATCGTTCATTAATTACATCTCTCAGATGCCGTTTGGGTCGAAGCATTTTATAGGCTGATTTGACCGTGAGGAGGTGTAGGCTAATATGACTTGCTCCAGGGGCGCCCCTCTTTCGGGGGGCCTGCCACGTCCATTCCACCGGGTCCAAGGCCAAGTCCTGGATTGGTTTGTCTGGCTCGAAGGCCACCCTCTGTCCCTTTTCTTCAATAACTCTCACTCGGTTAACCGATGTTTTGTTCTTCCATTCAAAGGGTGCCTTACTTGCTTGGAGGGTGTTTATCTTTGTAATGGTGTAGTATTCAATCAGGACCATTGGGGGGAAACCATGTGGATCAAACCAATCTGTTGTGGGGTCCCTGTGGTCGTCACCTAGTCACCCTCACTCAGAGTGGGACCTCTTCTGAGGATCCGGTACCATTCTTGTGGGATGGCTTCAATGAGGTTTTCCAAAAACTCCTCGACACGGTGGCAGTACCGTAAGGCTTCTCGCATCTGGTCCCCTGTTTTCCAAGCTTGCCTCTTAGTGTCCCAGAGGTCCCCAACCTTGAGAATATCGTGTTTGACCCAGTTTTTCCAAGGTGGGAATGAACTTATCTTCACTCGGCCCCCCGTATCTGTTATCCATCTGTTGCCAAAGAGGGGCTGGCGATAAACTTCCTCCCAACGGTCGGGTTGGGTCCTATCTGGAAGCGGGAGTTTACGCCAAGTTTGCAGCAGGGATGGCCAAAATTTATCCAACGGCTGACCCCCCTCCTTCTTCTGACCCCTCCCTTCGTCCCGGAAGTTTACGTGGGATCGTCCAAAAACGGTCTTCCAACCAAGTGAGTGGATGGATCGCACGGGGAGCTGCTGGGTCTAATTGTGCCAGATGTTCCAGGGCCAAGGCACACCATGGGCTCTGGGGGGCAAAAATGAGTCTCTTAATCCTTTTGACTCGTAGCGCTTGTACCTGCGTGGCTGCGTCCAGAATCCCTAACCCCCCTTCTGCCTTTGGTTGGACAATGGAGTCCCAGGCCACTCTGCTGATTACGTTGGCTTGCTCCCCATCCCCCCTCCACAGAAAAGCTGCAGCCTTTTGCCTTAGAGCCCTCAAAGCTACTTTGCTTAATGGCCATAGCAGGGACTTATACCATAACGATGCAAAGACTACATTATTGAGAACTACGGCCCGACCGAAGAGGGACGTGTGTTTGTTTTTCCAATTGTTCAATTTGTGCTGCGATCCATTCATCGTTAACAGGTGGCCTCCCTTTTGTGGTCATGGATACCCCCAGGACCCTTATTGGTGTTTCTACTGGCATCCAGGCTATACGTGGGGCCTCCAGGGGACGTCCTCCTTGATAGTGGATCCACCATCCCTGTGTTTTGGACCCCCAGTTGACAGACATGTCGGAAACCTTAGTAAATTTCTCCATCATGCGTTGAATTTCCTCCATGTTATGGTGTGTGGCCTCTGTGATAATTGTGAGATCATCCGCGAAAAGGGAACACACCGGAATTGCTTCCTCCGGGATGCGTATAACTCGTATTTTGGTGATATTCTTGTTTGCCCGAAGGTTAGCGATCAGTGCTTCCATGATGACTAGGAACAGGAAGGGGGCAATAGGATCCCCTTGTCTGACCGATCGTTCCAGTCGTAGAGGCGGTGCAAGACTTCCATTGACCTGGACACATGTGGTGGTGTAGGATTTGTATCCATCGTCTGAAGTCTGACCCAAAGTTCATTTTTTCCAGACACTTGTCCAAAAACATCCAGTCCACATGGTCATAAGCTTTTTCGAAGTCGATGAATATGAGAGCCGCATTCTGACGAGAGTGCCTCGTGAGTTGAATGATCTCATGTATCAGCAGGATATTCTCTTGTATGTTCCTGTTCTGCATGAAACCGGTTTGGTCCGGATGAATAATGTCCTCCATTACAAGAATCATTCGGTTTGCCAAGGCCTTGGACAACATTTTATAAACAACTGTGAGGAGTGTTATGGGTCTATAATTCCTAATGTCCATTTTATCCCCTTTTTTATATAGGAGGGTTAATATTCCTTGCCCCACCCTTTCTCCCATCTCCCCTGTGAGCCAAACTTCACTATAAAAGTACATGATGTCTTGGCTCATAAAGTCCCAAGTGGTTTCCCAAAATTCCTTAGGGAAGCCATCTATCCCGGGGGCCTTCTCCTCCTTCATTTGTAGGAGGGCGGACCATATCTCGTTCCTAGAGAGCGGGGCCTCTAATGTGTCCCGTTGTTCGGTCGTCAGAGTCTTATTAAGTGGGTCCAAGAATTCCTGGATTAGATGGCCATGGTGCGGAGGATCTGGCTTATCTAGGTGTGAAGAGAAGAGATCCTTATAGAAATCGTAAGTTATCTTCGTACAACGGGCTGTGGACACGGCCGGGTACGAGTCTCTGGCATCAGGTTGGTATAGAGCCTCGATCGTGGTACGTTGGCAGCGTGCTCTAGCCAAGCCGAAGAAGTGAGAGTTCATTACCCCTTCAGTGGAAAATCTGGATAACCTGGCCCTTGTTTGGGCGCCTTGCCATCTGTATTGTGCATGTTTGAAGAGTTGATCTTTTAATTCTTGTATGCGAGATTGTAAGTCAGCGATCCTCTGTTCCTGCCCTTGCGGAGGTAACGAATTCTGCTCTTGTTCCGCGCTTACCAAATTCTGCATGATCACGACTTCTTGGTGGTGTCTAGGAGCGGCGAGATGTTTGGAGTACTCATTACACTTCCTAGCCATGAAGAATAGGCCATTGTTAAACCAAGCAATCTGTGATTCTTGTTGGGGGCGGTGGGTTTTCCAAAAGTCCCAGACTTGTTGGAGATATTGTCTAAGTGATTGGAGCTTCAGTAGGGAGGTATTTAGTTTGTAGTAGTTAGCCCCTTGGTCCGGCCGTTTATGAAATGTCCACACCGCCATACACATCCTGTGATCTATCCCAGGAAATGGGTTGGACGGGAGTATTGCCGTCACCGAGAGGCCTCCTCCTAACTCTTCTGACGCCAGGATCAAATCAATTCGCGATTTGGACAATCTAGCGGGGTCTTTGTTTTGGATGCAGGTAAACGTTCTATCTTTGGGGTGGCTACGCCTGAATGTGTCAAAAAGCGATAGGTGGGCGCACAAATCTTTCAACATACGTTCATCCTCCTCTGCGTTGTGAGCAGAAGTGTGGGGGACTTTCCATCGGTCCAGCCATTTGTCAGGTGCGGCATTGAAGTCCCTACCAGTATTAGGGGGATGTCTGGGGCGGGGATTGTTGCGATTTTGTCAAAAAAACGTGTCTTTCGCGGGACGTGTTCGGGGCATATAGGGAAACTATGCATACGACCTCCAGTTCCAGTGCGCCCAGTATTTTGACCCATCGTCCCTCCTCCTCGTCCTTCTCCCAGCAGAGAATTTCGCATCGTGACTCGGGCGGGATCCAAATGGCTACTCCCGAGCTCCCTGGACCGGGGGCGAATGCTTGGTAGCTCTGGAAGGGTCAGGCTTACCTGTGTGCCCTATGGTGTTCTGGGGTGTCCATAAGATGGGTTTCTTGTACTCATATTACGGCTCCGACCCCCCTCATCAAGTCCCATAATGCTTTAATTTTCTCTGGGTTGCGGGATGCTAGGCCATTCACATTGATCGATCTAATATCTAGATCAGCCTCTTGTAGAATGCGATTCCATTTCTTATTTTTCCCATACACCACGTCAACCAACTCCATCGCTTCCAGGATTGTGCTTGTATGCCCTCAGTCTTTTTCCTACTTGTCGAGCAGAGGGGACCATTCTTGTGCATCCCAATCGACCCCCCTGTTGAAAATGTTTTTTCTTAATATCGTGCAAATACATGTAAGTAGTTCATCAGTCGACCAGATACTGGTTGGCTTAAACTTTAGTTGTTGGGTGTCTAAGAGCATGTTGTGTGTGAGCCATTGCAGTCCCGCTTCTTTATTTTCTTCAAATCTTATGTAGAGGTCTTTGTAGGCCATCTTTAGCCCCTCCGTGGATACGCTAAGGATGGCCATTGCTCCTGGTTCATAGTGACCGACAATAAACTCAGTGACCTCCCCTTTTCGTAGTATGCCTTCTCTTTGCATGTGCCACCCTTCTAGTGTTATTCCTCCGTAAGCGGGGGTGTATGGGTCCTCGGACTCTGCAGGTGACATGCCCAGTCCCCATTTCCCGGTCTTTCTCCTGATTGGTAGTACTAGAGCCTTGTCTCCCGTCGACAGGCTCTTGTGATATAACCCTTTTTCGATCAAATGCCGCATTTTGCAGTTATCATTCTCCAAACTGCGCGTACTCTCATCTTAGTAATTCCAAAAAAAAAAAATTGTACTTTATTTTCAGAATTCTTTTATCGAAAATCATTTGTGGTCTGAAAGTTCAAAATTTTTTCTCATTGGTAATTTCGCACTTCAAGGGAAATTGGGAAGCCTAATGAACTTGCAAACGAGTATTTTTGCAAAGTTCAAACTTTTATTTTTTTGATTAGTGGCACCTTATCTGGGCCATTTATCCCACCCCTCCCCACCTAAGTTGTTCCGCTTCTGGTCTTCTCTATCTGCCTCCGGGTACCCCCTGCGGCGACATTGGTGAGTTGCACGTCAGCAGGACACGTCAGCAGTGCCACGTCAGCAGGACACGACAACAGTGCCACGTCAGCAACCAGTCACCGCAGCAGCAGGTCACGTCAGTGCATGGTGCTCACCTACTCAAAGACAAGCGGCATGGAGCAGCAGCCAGGCGAGACTACCGAGGCCTATGAGACCCGCATGCTGGACATGGTAGCAGAGTTCAAGCAACGGGCAGCTGCGGCAACATCCGCACGTAAGAAGGAAGATGAGGAAGCAGAGGAATAGCGTCACCTCGCTGAACAGCAGCGACAGGAGGACGCTGAGGCAGCAAAGAAGGCCGCAGACGAACGCCGTCGACTACGCCGAGACAAACTCCTCGGATGCGAGGGGGATATCGAGGTGATCGCCGGCGAATGGGCAGTGGCTGCTGAAGAGGAGGGTGCCCCCTCTGCTGTGCGTGGCCTTGCAACCACAATCGAACATGTGAGTGACTTGGTCGCCACCTGTGCAGCACAGCAAGAGGACATCCTCTGCGTGGACACCCTGGTCCGGAGCAGGCTCGACTTCTCGACGAACTGCTTGACCGGGTACGGCGGCTGGAACAACAGCTTACAACAGCCAACCCCGCCGGACCCTCCAACTTGACGGACCGCGTTAACGTCTTGGAAATCGACGTCGACACTCTCAAGGACGGTGCTCTAGCAACAAATCAGCGGATTGACCAGCAGATTTGTGTCGCCGCAGCCAGTCCGACCGCGACTACTCGCGGGAGCATCCCAAAGTTTGACGGCCTGCCGATCTTCTGCGATGCAACGAAGACAGACCCGATCCCATGGTGGCGCCAGTTCGAGTTGAAGTTGGACATACACCACGTCATCAACCCGAACCGGCACGCATACTTATACTCCCGCTCGGGAGGCGCGTGCCAGGCATGGCTGGACAACATGTTGTCCACCCACAACATCGCAGTCTCCGAGCTGCATACGAAGATCAACTGGGCTGATCTCAAGGCAGCATGGCATAAGCGGTTCCAAGTGGAGCCGCCCAGGCTTCAGGCAGTCGAGAAACTGCAACGGTTCTATCAGAACGACCTGCCAAGCACGGACTGGATAACCGAGTACCAACGCTTGGCATGCACGCCCAACTTGTCGTCGACATTTGTTGCTATCAAGCACTTCTTCATCAGGAGGAGTTGTCCGGCGTTGCAGAACGCCTTGACGCAAGTTGCGAAGACGCTCACCACAAGTGAGCAGCTTTTTGATAAAGCCTCGCAGATCATCGTGACGAACATCGAAGCCAAGAATTTGGGCCATTCGTCTGCTGCGGGCCAGGGCAGAGGTCAGCATCGGGCGAAAGTGGCCGTGGTCGCGGCAGCTACAGTGACCGACCCTTCAAACGAGGCTGCCTCTTATGAGGAAGGAGACAAATTGGCAGCCGCCCGGGATGGTGGCCGCCCCGCCAGAGGGCGAGGACGTGGCAAATCGAAGACACACACCAATTCATCTCCCGGGGCCTGGACCAGCGGCTCAAGAGCCTTGGACACATTACAATATGTCGGAAGGCGTGTACCGTATCCGTACTAAGTACGAATACTACTTGTGGTGCAACAGCGCGGTGCACGACACCGCAATGTGCCCCACGCAAGTCAAAGGCAAACTCCCATCGGAAAAGTGAGCACCTCCGAGAGTGATGCGGCTGCACACTCGACGCCTTTGGAATCGGTTGCTTCGCGAGCGACCTCTCTTCATTCCGAGGCACATGCGAAAGTCGACAGTCCTCTGTTATATTCTTATGAGGACTATGCTGCCCGGCTTGTTCCTTCACTGGGTTCTCAAGCTCAAGGACAAGATGAGTGTGCGGCTTCTTCTCCGTCCGACAACAACAACAATGAATCGTCTTCAAGTGGTTCTTCAAGGGATTCGACGCACGAGTTCAACATAGAGGTCTTGGACCCGTTGACGTCCGAGGATTTTGCATGGCTTCCTCTCCCTTCCACAGGCTGCTTGTCGGGACCGCAATGCGCAGCACTATGCGCCCATCTCCACACATACTTAGCCTTCTATGCACCACCACCTTCGCCGACGGATGACGAAGCTGCGGTGGGGGACATCCTTGCGTATGTTAGCAAGGTGGCCCGCGAGTTTCGCACGCAGCAGTACGATGATAACAACGCACCGCTCCTTTATGTCAGCATCCAAGTTGGGCAAGCGTTCTGCAGCGCTTTGCTGGATAGCGGCGCGACTCGCAATTCCATCAGCCAGTCCTTTATCCAAAGGGCCGGCCTTGGCGCACAAGTTCGAAGGAAGCCAAACCCGACGGCGATCAAGTTGGCGGACGGTTGGACGCAACAACTCCTCAATCGCTACATTCAAGCTGTGAAGGTTTATTTCGCACCTCATGCATGCGAACCGGCGACGTTTGACGTCTTGGACACGGACTTCGACATCATTTTGGGGATGCCTTGGCTTGCAAGTGCGGATCACACGGTTAACTTCCTTCAACGAACACTTACCGTTCGCAATGCCTTCGGCGCCGAGGTACCGTGTACCATTCCTCTTCTGCACCCCTCGATTCGGTGCCAAGTTGTAATGACAAAGTCTTTTCGGGCCACCTGCACTTACTAGTGGACCGACGAGATAGGCCTATGTTTTCTACGAGCTGCTGCGACGACCGAATCTTCACCTACGGACTTGTCTTCGGACCCCCAAGTGGTGCGGCTGCTCGACGAGTTCATCGACACCTTCGAGTCTCCTGCCGGTGTGGTGCCGGATCGGCCGATCTCCCACGAGATCATTCTTGAGGCCGGTGTCGTGCCGCCGAAAGGATGCATCTATCGCATGAGCGAGGAAGAGCTCGCGGTTCTCCTCGCGCAACTCGATGATCTGTTGGACAAGGGTTGGATCCGCCCTAGTAGCTCACCATACGGTGCACCAGTTCTCTTCGTATGGAAGAAGAACAAGGATCTTCATTTGTGCATCGACTATCGCAAGCTCAATGCACAAACCGTCAAGAATGCGGGACCTCTTCCGCGGATTGATGACCTTCTCGAGCATTTGGGGGGCGCGAAATTCTTCTTGAAGTTGGACTTGAAGTCGGGCTAGCACCAAATCTCGATACGCCCGCAAGATTGTTACAAATCCGTGTTCAAGACACGGTACGAGCATTTTGAGTGGATCGTTATGCCTTTTGGCCTCACCAATGGCCCGACGACCTTTCAAGCGGCAATGTCCAACGAGTTTCAGGCGATGTTGGACCGGTTCGTACTAGTCTACTTAGACGGCATTCTCGTCTATAGTCAAACATTGGAGGATCATCTGGAGCACCTTCGACAAGTGTTGGAGACACTCCGCCGTGCCAAGTACAAAGCCAACCGCGACAAGTGCGAATTTGTCCGGCAAGAGCTGGAATATTTGGGCCATTTCGTCACACCGGAAGGTGTCAGTCCGTTGTCGGACAAGATCCAAGCCATCCAAGAATGGCCGAAGCTGAAGAACGTCACAAAAGTCCATTCCTTCCTTGGCTTAGCCGCTACTATCAATGTTTCATCAAGGGATATTTGAAGATCGAGGCTCCTTTATCCAAGCTTCAATGCGAGGACCGGCCATTCAACTTCGACGACAATGCGTGGACTGCCGTTTTGGCTCTCAAATCCGCATTGTTATCTGCGGAGGTGTTGCGCATCTACGATACGCTTCTGCCGACACGTGTCACTACCAATGTGTCCAGCTATGGCATTGGTGCCATCCTCGAGCAACATGATGGCGTGGCCTAGCACCCGATCGAGTACTTTAGCAAGAAAGTGTCCGCCGCGCACTCGACTGACGATGCACGGAAGAAGGAATTGTTGGCCTTTGTACACTCGCTCAAGCGCTGGCTGCATTTTCTTCTCGACGACGGCGGTTCCGATGGGTAACGGATAACAATCCGTTGGTCTTCTACAAGACCCAAGATACAATCAATAGCACCATTGCCCACTGGATGTCCTTCATCAACCAATTTGACTTTTTCCTCGACCACATTCCGGGCAAGTCAAACCGTTTTGCGAATGCTCTTTCACGACGTCTGGATCATTGTACCGAAGTCTATTCAACCTTCAAGATCGGCGACGACCTGCGGGACAGCTTTATCCGCGGCTACCAAGATGACCCCGAGTTTCGCGAGAAGTACGCGAATTGCTCCTCTCCTAATCTGGCGCCTTCTCACTACCGGATCCAAGATGGGTACTTGCTTGTCCACACACGGGGGAAAGACCTTCTATGCGTATTGAGTGACTCTCGCTTGCGTACACAGCTTCTTGGTGAGTTCCACGACGCTCTCACCACCAGACACTTTGGAGTAAATCGTATGGCCCGGTCTTCTTGAGGACGTCACACGCTATTGGGAGTCATGCGAGGTTTGTCGACCTTACAAATCCCGCAATCATCGTCCGTACGGTGAGTTGCGACCGTTACCGGTCCCTTGCGCCGAAGGGAAGCGATTGCCATGGACATTACCGGCCCGTTCCCCAAGCACAAGACCGGAGTGGATGGGATTCTCACAGTGGCCGACCGACTCACCAAGTTCGCCATGTTTTTGCCTTGTCGCTATCATGCCAAGGCACCGGAGCTGGCCGAGGTTCTGTACGCCGGTTGGATTCGAACCAAGGGTTACCCCAAGGAAATCCTCTGCGACCACGACACTCGGTTCATGTCCGATTTTTGGTTGGCGCTCACCAAACGATGGGGCTCATCTCTCAAGCCTAGTTCAGCTCGCCACCCTCAGACGGATGGCCAGACGGAGAGGGCGCACCAGACGGCACAGGTTCTCCTTCGCACTCTCATCCGTCCCGACCAAAAGGATTGGGTTGAGCGGCTGCCGGATGTCGAGTTGGCCTACAACTCGTCCATCCACCCGACTATCAGGATGTCGCCCTTCGAGTTCGAGCACGGCTCGCCAGTCACTTCGCCATTGGACACAATCATTCCGCGAACGGCCGAGAGCGACGACCATCTTCTTTTTTTGCGTCGAATGCAAGAGCTACTTGTCAAGGCACTCGACCAGATGGCCAAGACGCAGCAACGCATGAGCCAACAGGCCAATCGCTAGCGTCTTCCTTGCCCATTCCGCGTCGGCGATCTCCTTTGGGTTTCCACCGCGGAATTCAGTCTTGAACAAGATATCTCTCGCAAGCTCCTCCCGAAATGGATGGGGCCTTGGCCGATCGTGGCACCCGCTGGGAATGCACCCGAAGGACCCTCCTTCACCATTCAGGTGCCCGCCCACTTGGCCGTCTGCCCAGTCTTTCATTGCTCCAAATTGACTCTTTACACGCCAGCGGAACATGACGATTTTCCCGACCGACGATCGCAAGACCCACCCTCTATGGGCGGGTTTTCAAGAGGTTGGCCACATCATCTCCCAGCGACGCTACAGCAACAGGCCAACCGAGTACTTGGTACACTTTGCGTACTGCAGTCACCGAGCTGACCGTTGGTTAACCGGTGCGGAACTCCAAGCAACAGCTCCGGATGTTCTCGCACACTACGAACGCAAGATGCAAGGCAAGCCGGTATCTTTGGCTCCATGTGGCACCAGCATCGATGTTCCACCTTCAGATCGTCAGCTTCGCCCTCGCCCCGGCTTGACTTCATAAGGAGGGGGGGGTGTTACATGCTACGCGTGCAACAGGCTGCACAGGCGACTTTCAGCCCCGTGACATTTCCAGGCCAAAAGCCCGAAAACAAGCGCCTACAGGCCCCATGTCGTTCCAGCCTGAAAGCTTGAAAACAAGGGCCTACAGGCCCTGTGTCGTTTCAGCCTAGATCAGGGCCTTTCCGGCCCTGAGTCTTTTCAGCCTGAAACTGAGGGCCATTTTCAGGCCGTCACGAGTTCGGCCTGCCCCGAAACTCAGGCACCAAACCAGGGTTTTAGCTCAGGGCATTTTTGGCCTATTTTCAAGACAACCTTCGTTTGAGCTTCAACCCCAGGGTCTGGCACATTTTGGCATTGGCAAGAGCAGCCCCTGGACGGGCCAGCACTATAAAGGACTGGCCTGCCCTGCAGGGTGTAGGTAGTTCCTATGTATTTCCCAAGCACTTCACGTGCAGTTTAGGAAGCAGGAGGTAGTCTTCAGGATTCGGCGACAGCACTCTAGAGGAGCGCTGCAGGAGTAGTAGTAGCGTTAGCAGTAATTTTCAGCGCTGGGCACTTTGTAGCGTTAGCAGTAGTCTTCAGCGTTGGGCGCCATAGGAGCTAGAGTAGTACTAGACAGAGAGAGATTAGGCGGAGGCCAGGGAAACTTACCTGCAACGCCATTTCTCCAGCTTCGTCTTCGAGGTACCTGCAGCACAACGCTATCCTCACAGGTTAGCACCTGGCATATGAGAGAGAGAGAGTTCTTCTTCTTCCTCTTCTCAGTCCATCATCTTTCTCTCACCCTCTTGTTATCTGACTTCACCAGCAGACTATGAGAAAGAGAGAGAGAGAGCTTGGTGACACTGGACCCAGACTCGACATTGGACTCCAGACATTTTGACGAGGGATTATTTGGGACTTGTAACGCGACTTGGTGTTGACGACTTTTCCATCTCTCCCCTTCTCTTCTCCGTCTGATCCCCTCCTCTTTGTCTGTGCATGAAGTGGACCTGGCGCCTCTTCCTGTGTATAGCGCCAGGCTCCCCTCCACACCGTGTGGTGAGAATGATGTATGTTTGGTCTGCTTTGCAACATTGATTGGGCTAGTCATTAGAATTCTAGTATTCTGCTGCACTATCTTGCACTACGTGATAGAGGTCAGACCCGGTCAAGTCAGGATTTGTATCTAAGTCTTCCCTGCGCTATCAAGCACCATTTTGTATGTATCGGAATGCACATTGCTTGTTGAGATTCCACTTGCATTGCATTGTCCGTTCAATCCTTTTTATCACATTGCGGATCCTCGATTTTACATGTACATCGCCCAACTGGGCATGTTATATATAGGATGGTCCGAAGGGGTCAGCTCCCACTAAGACCTGCCATGGACCCATATATTGTGGCAACAGCTTAGGCGAAATGTCCTCCTCTCGTGACAACTCAGAACCGAGTACCCACACGCAGTCACCTGTGCGAATAGTAGAAGGATGTCTGTGCCTGTTAGCCTGCTGAATCATAGCCTTTTGAGATTTCAGGAGGTTGGCACGGGCACGCTGTCGAGCGCATCGGTCCCGCACGGGGACCCTCCCGGCCGCGTAACGCTGGATTATGGAGGACTTCGTCGCAGAGCGTTTTAGCCGCTCCGGCCGAGTGCGCCAGCCGTACCTCTCGCGAGCCCCTACGACAGGACAGGGTCACGCGAGGCACCGCTTACCTCCACCTGCGGGAGCTGTCACCGTCCCTTAGGTGGGCGTATCCCCGCCGAGCTACTGAACCACATGCGAAGGCTTTTCGTATGCAATTGCAAAGATGGCCCAGCCGAGGGCGTTTCTCGCTCGCTGTAGCATAGGGGTTACGCGCGGTCGAACGCCCAAAATCGAACCCCCACGTGAGTCGACGTTCTGGGGGGCTGACCTCCCAAACGCGACTCGGCGTCGGTCGACTAGGACGCATCGCACACACCCCGCGTTACACCACAACACTCACATCTACCCACACATAACACATAGACACACACAAAACAAGTATCACAAACAACACCACAACACCACAACACTACAACACTCCTAATCCCTTCAGTATCCGACCCATAACTTCATGCAGCAAGAATCAGATAAGTATTGTGCGCTGGGTTCCCGTATAAGTGTCGGGCGAGCGCATGGCCTCCTCATATTAACCAGCCATGCGGACATACGCAACCATTTGTGTTCGTGGGGTACTATGTGGTACTCGTAGCCTTGCGGCCCTTGATATTCTCGAGGGTCGCGCTCGACACTCAAGTGTCGGCTGACAGGCGCTTTGAGGGGTAATCTCTCGACGCCAGACAACCGCCATGCGCGGTTGAAGACCACACCCTCTTCTGCACCCTGTGCAGAGGGGTTGAGTAGACAGCTCCAAGCAGTCGTGGTGGTCAAATATCAAGGGGTTTGACTTTGACGGCTGCCACGGACGACAACGTCCAACCATAATAACTCTAAGAAGCAAAAGGTCAAAGGGGGCCTTTTTTTCTCTTACTGCAACACCTACTTAATCACTATGCGCGGCCTCAATGGGTCGGGCGAACACGAGAAACATGATATAAACGTCATGAGATAGAAGACGATCACTCCCACAATCACGGTGTGGCTTCCTTCAAATATATATATACACATATAATCATACGCAAAACCAAGTCTGGACTTCAATTCACAGAACATACCTGTAATCACATAAAAAATCCACATCAACAGAGCACACATTACACGGGGTCAACTTCAACCATTCTTTGCGCTCACACCCCTTGCTTTAGCCATACAAGCCTCACTCTTTGCGCAACTCTCAAAATAAAATACTCAGCGTCTTTATTAAATGGCCATTCAATTAAAGTCCGGGTAAAAATAGAACAAGACAACACAAAACACAGGGCTAAAGCCTTTTTAGGTTGAGTAGCAAGAGTGGATTAGAGTTGAGCCGGAAACCGACCTGTTATCAAAAGATAACAAAAAAATGATCCTTTGGAAGGAGTAGGCGGACCAGATCAAGCCTTCAAGTGAAAACACTGAAACCTGCATCACAGTACAGGCCAAAGAAAAAATATTATTTATGTCGAGGGGAAAACATTCCCCTAGTCGTAACCTAACTCCTCTACTAGTACCAAGTCACAGAGTATCTCCTCTAATCAGGATAGATTCACAAGGTAGCTCCTAGCTGAAAAATATTCTAACTCCCCAAATTCTACGAAATTTCGGCAACGCTTCCCGTAGGAAAAGTGCCTTTTCAAAATTTCTATGAGTCCAAAAATGACTAACTCCCCCAGATTTGTAGAAATTTCGGCAGCGCTTCCCGTAGGAACAGGAGGCTGCCAAGATTTATACGAAGCTGAAAAGACAGAAAGATAAAGCAAACTATACTTGGGACTATCTTCTGACACCTGCTTGACGAGTCAGGATCAATGATAGCCATCACGACGTCTAGATGAGATTGTGGGTTAGCACTGATCCTAAGTCCTTAGCAGAGTCAGTCCTCTCTTCATCCCAAGTTCTTCCTCCCATCATCCATATGATCTACCTATGGCTCCAGCACTCAGCGAGCATCTACAGCAACTACTTTATCCAAAAGATGCCCCAAGTGAGAGCCCACGAGCATGCAAGCGCAAACATCTAAGACATGGGGTCAGCCAACCCAACTTATGGATGTGACTGACCTGCTAGTTTATATGACTAGGCCACACCAACTTATGGTGCCCTAGCCTGGTAACACAAATATATGTACGCTTAAGACCAAACCACAGCAACTTATGGTGTGACTAGTTTCTGCAAAACGATCGACATAAGGCGTATGACCGGGCCGCACCAACTCATGGTGAGGCTGGTCAGTCGGCCTGAATGTTCGGCATACACATAGAACTGAACCTCCTCAACTCATGAGGGGTCGGCCTCTGCCTAAACAACAACAAAAGGCATATGACCAAACACAATAACTTATGTTGTGTTCGGCCAGCCCACACGGTTACATACGGCGTAGAGTCAGGCTACCCAACTCATGAGTAGTCCAGCCCAGCCTAGACATAATCACATGCGCGAAGAACTGAACAGTCCGCAACTTATGCGTTCGCCCAACCTTCGCAATATAACCATGTTCAACTTATAGACATAAGGCATAAAACTTACCACAACAACTTATGTTGTGATAAGTTTCTGTCTGAACAAAATGACATAAGGCATATAACCAGGGCGCACCAACTTATGGTGAGACTTGATCAGCCTAACTCTCGGCATATACAAAAAAAATTGAACCTCCTCAACTTATGAGGAACCCAGCCTTTGCCTGAACGAACGACGAAAAGCATATGACCAGACACGACAACTTATGTTGTGCCTGACCAGCCCACACAGTGACATATAGCGTAAGACCAAGCTACCCAACTTATGAGTAGTCTAGCCCCGCCCAAACAACAACAAGCGAGTATGACCGAGCAGCCCGCAACTTATGCGTTCTCCCGACCTCCGCAACACAACTACATCAATAGATAAGTTTCACAATCAGATTCTATCTTCAGACGA